TGAAACGAATGAGATTATAAAAACCGCCGCACACCGGTCTGAATCATGATGCTGACGAATCACGAATAAAGAAAGACTGCGTCTTTTGTCCTCATGTCCTGTTGCTTGTCTTGATGCAGTTGGTGTGCGGCCGCCCTTGGACTCTCATTCGGAAGGTTCTCGGTTCGAATCTCAGCCCAGATATCTCGTATGCTGATTTTCGTGGTTTTATTCAAACTTTCCAGGCAAATGAGCTGTAGCCTCGCTGTGAATGTAGCGCCCAGTAATCTGGAGATCGTTACGTTACAAAGTTACAAGTTCTTAACGTGAGATGGGATCTCCAGAATTCCATACCGAGCTCTCACTGAACACACAGGGCGTTTCTTCCATAAGGGTTCCTACTCGAAGGGTGACGTACACTTGAAGAAGTTTTTACCTACCACATGAATAGTAAGATTTTCTGGGCTGTAACGCCGTGTAGTTTGAGAGATGAACGTTTCAAAAGAACATATCACCTCCATCTTCAAGGTCGAAGAGTAAGCAACGTGAGGAAGAAGCTTACCGCTTACTGGTTTCTTGCTTGGCTCAACTCTTTTACCCTGAAGATGGAGGCGATAAGTTCCTTCGAAGCGTTGACCTCTCTCCGAACTACACCGTGTTACAATGCAGAAGACCGCATTGATCATTGCTACCGCCATGAAAACCCAAAAATCCAACAAAAATTTCAACACGATTTAATATTTAGTAAGTGGAATTTTTCAGGCACCACTGAGTTAACCTGCTCGGTACCGTGTGGCTGAATGTCCATGGAAAACAGTCGCCTTCTGCAGTATGATTATGCTCTAGACAGATCACCAGCAGCGGTGCAAAGTGTGAACTGGACACAGCTTGAAGTTGCGTCGTCACCAAAGCCGTGTGAAATTTCAAGTTTGGTGATACTTGGCTTATCTAATGTTACGTGGTGATCTCTGAATTATCATTAATTGGAAAATGGTTTCGAAGTAAGTGTTGTCATCTGTTTTAGGGTAGCAGAGCAGCGCATACCTCGATGGGTCGATAAATACCGCAGATGATTCATTTATAATAGCCAGACTTATACCCTGAAGATGATGGCGACACATTGCTCCGAATCAGCTGTAAACATGTACCAGAAGAGAACACCGGCGAGTGATATTCATGTGTTGTGACGAATTATAGAACGGCGCGTAACCGCTTCATGGACACTACCGAGTATACTCGTTGCTTCAGACAGCCTCACGCCTGTGGCCATCTGAATTACT